ACAACTAGTAGCTCTAAATGGTAGTGTTGACAATAAATTACTCTTAGCGTGCTCCCCCCCTCCCCCTCCCTCTCTGTGTTCTTTTCCTGAATCCTAAAAGCATCTGATTAAAAGTAGCCAAGGTTTGGGATTTTTCAGAATCATATTCCCAACTAAAAAAAGTACAAAATACACAGTACACTAAACAAGATTCCAAGTCACAAGTTGAAAACTAAATTTGCTTTATCTTGTAGCAACTAAGACCAATCATCCAAATGGGTAGTAAAAAGAATCATGGTACACTTTTACGTAGCATTTTGTTTTCACTTTCCTATTTGGGAACCTGAAAACACACCTTAACAGTTGCTTCAAGGACATGACAAGCTATCCTAGAGGTGCATGTGCCTAGCAAAATTTTGGTATATCCATTCTTGAGCGCAACCTGCACATTGAATTAGAAAGAGCTTGCAATTACAAATATGCTTTCAACAGAAACGACCTTAAAATGCATGGTACCAGATATACGGTACAAACCTTTTGTAAGGCTAACATTCGCAAATGCACCAATAGATCTTCCTTTCCAGTGACATCAGCAACAGCATTTAGCAAATCTTTCAATCTATTTCTTCCATTGTTGGAATCTGAAGAATAAATACTTTCAGTAGAAACAACATGGAACTCCTTAACTGGAGGAGCCAAATTCGAGACAACCAATCTCATTTCTTCAACTGCTTGGCTGAATTTCTCAGCAGGTATAGAAATACTCGAACTTTCATCAATAAAAGCAACCCCAACGCCAAAGACAGGCAATGATCTATCTCTACTTGCATCAAAATTCTTCTGTGCTTTCATTTGCATCTCATGAACAAACTGAAGAGCCACCCTACATGATATACAAAAACTAGCTCAGGGCTAAATATTTAAACTTGTAACACGCAAAATTCAAAACTTCGCGTGATAACTATCACTCATCCAATATATCACAAAGAAAGTACAGATTATGTGCTTCATGTAACAACATTGTCCGGGGAAATCAAGAATATCAGGATTCTCCTTTTTCTAGTATAGTTATTCTTCTTTTCAAGAATAAGGAGGACGAAGCAGAAAGGGAGAATTCGGTTGGTGAGAACCAACCATCATTCTCTAAGACAAAAGGAACAAAGACAATTTAAATACATTACTGGGCTGTATTCTAGGCTCTATTTTGTCATCATCAACAAACGTTTACTCATAAATCATCAATGAAGATTGTGTCAAACAAATCCTAAGCATGTTCAACTAAATCAACAAGAATTTTAAAGCCACAAGTATAGTCAAACAACACAAATTTAATACAAGAGCTCCTCTAGCTCAAAGAATGAAAACGAAGAAAGGGTACCTAGAAGAAGGGCCACCGGAGAAGGCGACGAGCACGTTGTCAGAAGGCGAAATCAGAGCATTAGAAGTGACGGCCAACCTAAACTTCCCGTAAAGGTTGCTCCGGAAACAATCTCCACAGAAGCGGCTGCTATCGCTAGCACCACCACCGCCTCCGCCTCCGCCGGTAACTTGAGCTGAGGCAGAGGAGGAGGAGAAGGCCGCTGCCATAGATTCTTTAAGCTTGCATTTGATGCAAAAGGCGGAATCCGAGTTCTTGCCATTGGATAAGGGCTGCTGGGTGGACTCAGTCGCCACAGCCGGCGGCGGCTGTGGAAATGGATCATCTACTCTGTCGCCGTTGTCTTCTCTGTAGCAACCGCCGGATTGGCAGGTTGCCGAATTGCAAGCCATCACACAAATAGCAGCACAAAGCCCAGCAGAGGAGCACCGGAGCACTTCCCCTGCCAATGGCCCAAAGATTAAAACCCCCCAGGGTTTTTTTTTTTTAACGTAATTTTTTCCCCTTAAACCTCAATTTCAGTTTTAATGGTCACTAAACTATGCGAGAAAAAAAAAATCCTTAGTTGTACTTAGGAAAAATATAGAAAAATATTATTTACTACTCTATATTTCGTTATTTACACATCCACCATTTGTTATATCATATAATTTAATAAATAAAAATTATATAATAAATAAATAAATAAAAATTATATAATACATATTATATAGTTTAATAAATAAAAACTATATAATAAAATAGGAGTGCTCATAACATTTATCAAAATATATAGTGCTAAAAAATCATAAATTCCGCTTCTTTAGCCCCATGCAACATGGCAAATCCGGTTACTTATTAATCTAATCTAAAAACTAAAAAGTATTCAGTGCTAAAAATCAAATATTTCGCAAACAAAGAGTGAAGGACATAGGGTTCCATTCTGGATTTCCAATTTGGTTAAAGGATCTCAGTTTAGACACCTTTTTCTTTTACTTGTGTTCTAGATTTATGTGAATTATCTTTTCTTTTTTATTTGTTGTTCTTGTTTTTAACGTTAGGAGGAAAAGCCCGCATGGCGCGCGAGAGTTTAATGCATGTGATTAGAGATAGTTAATAATTATTATTTTGTGCTTTATAATATAGGAAATGAAGTATGACAATTTTATTATGTGATATTAAACAGAAAAATCTTAAGTTACATATTGAGTCAAAAAATTTAATGTGCAACGAAATATAATTATAAGATAAGATCAACCACTTTGCCATGAACCAATTTGCATCCAACCTAGTAAAATAAAGGATCTTATACATTTCCTGCACTTTAGGGATATTAAATTCTACTATTTGGTTTCAATTTGATTTTGATACAAGGGCATTCCACCACACTATCTTGTCATATATAAGTAAGATTTGAACAATTAGCTTACTTAAAAAAATCATTGTGTCAGACTCAAGCGCTTACCATTGCACCAAAACCTATAGTTATTAGCGAAGGCGCAACTTTATTTTCTTAACCACAATGGCAGCGCAAAGCATCGTACCACGCTCGCCCAGCATGAGGGACTGCACCCCTGGGTGCCACGGGCTGGGCGGTTAGTCCTTTCGAGCCGGGATCTGAGGGATATTGCTGATTAGGCCAACACATTGCTTGTGGTATTTGGTTCTTGCAAACCAAGTTCTTGAATTTATATTGACTCCAACGACATTTAAATTATCACGAGACCTCTACATTGACTAATCAATCAATTATGAATTTATTGTATGATTTAGAAGATATACAAAGCATCTCTTTCTTGATCGTTAGGGGATCACAATCACAAAACATCAGTTTTTGAATTAGTTGCAGAGATATACAACAACTAACCTGCAAATTTAGAGGAGTAATAAAAAATGGTACTAAGGCATCTTAGTCCACTTAATTCAAGAAAACAATTAAAAGTAATGAAGTACATACTTTGAATTTGCAGCCAAATACTTTAAGTAGATAGTTAAACCTATTGGCAAACAAAATGAAGTGAAAAAATTGCCCAAATGAAATTGCCAGTAAAGTAGCAAACAATTTGAAAACTATCATAATTAATTATTAAAACAACAAAAGAAATAGATGCAATCTATAAATGGGAAAATTTATGATGATAAGCTTACCTTAAACCACAAATAAAAGATACCCGTCGAGAAAGCTGCTGCAAAATGGGGAAGAGGAGTAGCTAATGCAGTAAAATTCGAATTTAATAGGTTGGATGATTGTGCTGGACCAAAGTTTTAAATAAATGCTCTAATTACACTTCAAACACTCGACAAGCCTTGTTTGGATTGTCGTTTTCCGTCGGAAAATTACGTCGTTTTCCGTGATCACATTTCCCTATTACCTTTTTTCCTCACATACATCAAATCGTTACAGTATTTTTTCCATGAAAAATCATGGAAAATGCAATCCAAACACAAGACATTTCCAAAATAGTCCCATTCTTGGGGTTGAAATTCAAAGCCAAACTTTGACCAAAACTCAATCTTATATATTATAGGGATTTGGGAGGAAGTGAAGATTGAGAATTCAAGATTAATTAAGGGTTCGAGAAATTGAGGAATCACTATTTAAATAAAGGATTCACGCTTAACTACGGAGTGGTATTGAAATATGGTACTTAGTAAAATATGATGATCATAATAATAATCTTAATAATCATAAGTTCTGTTTGAATTAAGGGATTTGAGGAAGGATTTGAAATCCTTTAAAGTATCTCTAGGTTATTTGAATTATTCAAAACTCGCCAAAAAGTCCTGAAAATTTTGAGAATATATCATGGGCTTTGGACCAAAAAACGGATGAATAAAGAACCACGCCTTCACTTTTAGCGAAAGAATCATAGAAGAAAAATTAATCTGGGTTGTTCGTCATTTCAATTAAACTCAAAGATAGCTACCTAAGAAAATCTGCTTAAAGGAGTGATTTACCAACAGATCCAGAAAAGTAGAATGATACAAAGAAAAAGGGCACGAATGAGGGGAGAAAAAAAAACGGAGAACTATTAGGTTGGGACATGGGTCGAGGGAAGAAATTAGAGGGAATTTTTCGCATGCGCGTTTTTCACCTAAACTTCTTATATAATTTTCTTTTTCAATCTGTTGCCATCCGGACCCCTTGGCCATGATAAGAGCCATCCTTACTGCATCAGCTTCCTCTGTCATTGCATCCCCTTTCCTTTGTTTCTGTATCCCCCAAACATCGACCACTTTGAGAAGGCAACATTAGGTTTGTTTGCTTTAGTCATCATTTGTCTCTAGATTGCTTGTTCTAAAGTTGCCTGTGGTCACCTTTCAAATGGTGACTTTAAAATAACTACTCGAAATGGTGGTGATTTGAAAGTTACTCTTTCGAACAATAAATTCTCTATTTTGAAAAGAATTTAAAATTTTGAATTTGAAACTTTCACTAAACATTGGACTATTTTGATAAATACCTCCCCTATAGTGCACCTATGTCACAATGTTGTAATTTTGGTAGAAGATTGAATTGAGTAGTACGGCGAGGGAAATTGCAAGCAGGAGCTCTTGAATTCAGAAACTCCCATTTATATATAAATAAAAAAAACTCCTATTGCCGAAATATTGACAATAAAATTTCCTAGCCAAGACTTTAATGGTAACATAGGAAAATTTCTTTTTTTTTTTTTAAATTAACAAGTACACTTTTTTTTTTCATTAGCACACTAAATAGTAGTATGCAGCAATCTAAGTGCTTGGTCAAGTTTCCATTTTGCAAAGCACGATCTTATTCTGTTTCCTACCAAATGTCAAAGTTGTTTAGGTAGAAACATGGATAGAAAAATTGGATGATGGCAGAGTCGCAGAGATATCCACATGGAATTCATTTATGGTGCTTAGGCTACTCGTCCCATCTGCGCGGGTTTGGTCAGGCAGTGAAAGTACTGGTGGACTAACAGGCTGGTTCACAGCAATGGTGTGCAAAGGCCTAGTTGGTTCTCGCCTGCCCGCTTCAAATCGGTTCACCACTTGCTGCATTGTTGGTCGACATTTCGGGTTTGCGTTGACGCAATCCAGGGCTAACGCTGTCGCGAGAGCCACATTTCGAACCACCAAAGGGTTAGTCGGAGGGGGCAGACGGGAATCAAGAAGATCCTTCAGCATTATTGGTTCATTGGGTTGTGATGATATGCAAGAAAGGAATTCTTGTGGATGCTCTCCAAACAGCGTTTCCAGCACCACAACTCCAAAGCCATACACATCGGACTTTTCAGTGACCACCATGGTATAGGCTAGCTCTGCATTGACAAGTAAGTCTATATTTGGATACAAATAAAGTTAATCTCAAATGGGACAACTCCAGACTTACTATTCCAAAAAAAAAAATTAATCGTTTCAGTTGGAAGAATTTTTTTCTTTTCTGTCCTTGAAAGTTAAGCCTAATATGTGCATCAAGAAAATATGAAAAACAAGGTGAAAAGCAGAAAGGGATCTGGGATAGCAAGGCAACCTACCTGGTGCCATGTAGCCAAAGGTGCCTGCAATGACTGTTTGATTTGATGAATCAAGTTCCAAAATCCTCGCGGTTCCGAAGTCAGAAAGAGTTGCTTCGAGCTGTGAATTCAAAAGAATGTTGTTGCTTGATACATCCCTGTGAATGATTGGCGGATCACAATCGTAATGCAAGTAGGACAATGCACTGGCAATGCCCTTGATCAAATTCACTCTTTTAATCCAATCCAGCTCCACAGCTTCGGTTTCATCTCTCAAGATAAAAAACAAGCTTCCTCTGTCCATATACTCATAAATCAGAAACATGCATCGCTTGTGCAGGCAGAATCCGAAGAGCGTTACAATGTTCCTGTGCCTGATTTTAGATAGCATGTCGGCTTCGTTCCTAAAGCTCTTGTCAAAATTTGGATTCTCGCCTTCCAAACGGTGAAGCTTTTTCAAAGCCACTACTTTCCCACTTGGCAACCGCGCTCTGTATACAGAACCATACCCCCCTGTCCCGATGCAATAACTGACATCAAAATCGTTTGTTGCTTTAATTATGTCTTCATAAGCCATATGTCCATCGTAGTTCCATATTCTGAAAATGTCTCCATGTTTATTGTCCATCAGCTCAACTTCCACTTTCTTGACTTTGGTTTTGCAGAAGATATAAAGCACTAATCCGCCAATTAATGAGAACACCAACAAGGACACGCCATGACCTATGATGTAGTATGGGGGGTGATGTCTGTGATTTTTCATAACAGGAGGAGATGCACCACAAAGAGCGGAAGTGTAATGCAAGTCTGGATTGCCGTCAAAACTTCCTGGACCAAACTTATTGACAAGCTCACACGGAAGTTCACCTTCCAAAGCATTATAGGACAGGTCGACGTCCCCCAGTCGAGAAAGAGACGAGGGGACAGTGCCAGAGAGAATATTGTGGGAAAGATCCAAAGTCGAAAGGTACCACTCCGATTGGGTTGGTATCTTTCCGCTAATGCGGTTACGACTTAAGTCCACTGTCTGTAACAAAGGGAGATCTAGAATTTTCCATGGAAAAATATCACTCAAAGAGTTGTTTTGTAGATATAAATGCTTCAATCTAGACCAGGTGTCCAAATTTAATGTAAATGGAATCGGACCTCTAAGTTGGTTTGAGGAAAGATCTAAAAATTTTAGAGAAGGTATAACGGAAAGTTGAAGAGGTATGGAACCACTTATTTGGTTAGAAGAGAGGTCCAAATAAATCAGAGTAGTCAGACTGCCAAGGGTCGGAGGGATTTGACCAGTCAGCTGGTTGGACTCGAAGAAAAGATATTTCAAATTTTTCAAATTTCCTATTTCAGAGGGAATGGAACCATGAATTTGATTCTCAGCACCTGAAAGAGATACTAGTTTGGTTAGGCGACAAAGAGCTGAAGTAAAGGCACCTGAAAGATTAAGGCCACTGAAGTTTAATTTAACTAAACTCTTCAAATTTCCTATTTCTTCTGAGAGAAATCCTCCCATTGCAGGATTAGAGTGAATGTCTAGTCGGGAAAGATTTGTCAGATTAAAAAGAGCTGAAGGAATTGTCCCACTGAAGTGGTTATTGTTGAGGTTAATGGAGGCTAGATTGGATAATTGGCCAAGGGTTGGAGGGATGTTGCCAGAAAAACCATTGTAACTCAAGTCTAATTCAAGTAAAATCTTCAAATTTCCTATTTCTTCAAGGAGAACTCCCCTTATTGCGGGATTCCTGCCAATGTATAGCCGGGAAAGCTTTGTCAAATTAAAAAGTGCTGGAGGGATTATCCCACTGAAGTGGTTAATATTGAGGTTCAGGAAATCTAGATTGGACAATTGGCCAAGGATGGATGGGATGGGACCAAAAAAAGAATTGTTGTTCAGGTCTAGAGTAACCAAATTTGTCAAGTTTGCGATGGAGGAGGGAATAAAGCCTTCGATAAAATTATTCGACAAATTGAGATAGGTGAGTTTGAAAAGTGTACCTATTTGATGTGGGATGTCTTCCTTAAGTCCATTGCCACTGAGATCGAGAGAGGCTAATTTGGACAAGTGGCCAAGAGTTGGAGGGATTGGACCAAAAAAAAAATCGTGGCTCAAGTCTAGAGCAACCAAGTTTGTCAAGTTTCCGATACCCGGAGGAATTAAGCTGTCAATCGAATTCCAAGAAACATCGAGCTGTGCTAGTTGCGTAAGGTTTACTAGAGAAGACGGGAGCTCACCTTCAAATCTGTTGAAAGACAAATTGAGATGGGTGAGTTTGGAGAGTGCACCTATTTGATGTGGGATGGCGCCGTGAAGTTTATTCTCGCTGAGATCTAGTCTAACCAGGTTCGGAAAAGAAGAGAAGCTGAAATTTGTCAAGTCATCTTGAATTCCGTAGCCCGGAAGTAGTATTTCGGTAACACTACCAGCATCGTTGCAAATGATACCAGGCCACTGGCAGTAGGCAGAAATGTTTGTTGCAGCAGTACTGCCTCGCCACCAGCCCCTCTTGAGCAGTGCCTCAGCTTCCAATAAATTCACAGCAGACTCCTTTGCTGCTATTGCAACTGGTGCAATAGCCAGTATCATGAGAAGAACAACTCCGCTGCATACAACATCCATCGATGCTATAGTACTATGAAAGACCGTAATTAAGATAAGATAGATGAAAAGTAAGCGCCCTCCGCCCGCCCTGATTGAAAGACTCGCACTTAAAATGGAGTCAAGCCAGTAGTGTCTTTCCAATCTGTTTCTTTCACACGGATTGTTAAAAGCAATGTGATACAGGCATTTTAATTTGGAAGACTCGCAATGCAGTGCAGTCAGCAGCATTTGTGGTCCTGAGTTGATTCCACTTTTGAGAAAAAATCAGAGTTAGATTTGGTAACCTTTGCCAAAAGCGGTTCAATCGGAAAGAAATTATTCACAATTTTTTTTTTTTTGAAAAAAAAATTTTAAAAACACACTCCATCATCTTCACATGGTTGTCGAATCTAATTATTGCTCTTTGTGCTAAAGAGTAAATTATAAATTCTAAGGACAGATTTCTAAAAAAAATCAAATTGTATCTAATTGCATCTCAGAAAGGGAGCAAATTAGTAATATTTCGGTCTTAAAAGTACATTTTGATGCCAGTAATTCAATACCGGTATGCAACCCTTTTTTTTTAATCTCTTTTGCCTTCTATGGGCATTTGCGTACATGTGAACACTAATTAAGACATATGAGTTTAATTAAACTGTAATGATTTAGCATACCTAAATAGATCAGGCAACAAGTGTACAGTTAAATGTTTGTTAGTATAATTAATTAAAATGTGCAACACGAAATGCAATTCTTTTCTTGATATTTTGTCAATAATTCTTTTCTTGACAAAATTTAGACACCAATTTTGAAAATTTAATTACACGGTTATTCGTTTAACTGGTATAGATACTAAATTTAACTTCAACTAAACTGGTAAATTTTGGCCCAAAGTCCGTTAAACCGTCTATAATTTGCATGAATATTCACTTTATCCTCATGTGATTTTTACATTTATTTACATAATTTCTTTATGATTTTATGCAAGATAGTTAGGCCATTATTTGTTTTAGTGCTTAAGTAAGAGCGATATTGATATTTCAACCAACTACGTTACCAATGCTACCATTTAAAGTCTTAAGTCAAGGTCTTTCCAATCTGCGTCTTAGGGGGTCCAAGGAAGGCTTGTAACGTGTTCTTTCTGGCCTTGATTTGCTTTCACATTTGAGAGTCAAGTTCACTGCAATTGTTGTGCAAAATTTCTTAGAAGACTTTTCTGCGGGGCTTAATCACGTGGAAGACTTTTTTATAAAGGGAGCTGCACTCTCAAGGATGACTGTATTAAGGATTTTTAATGAATGGTGAAACCCGTTAAAACATTTAAATCACATTTACAATATGAATACACAGTCACTTTTTTAAAAACAGTTACACTTTTTCCAAAATATAAACAGCTGACACTCTTTTAATCAATAACGCATGTCCTGGGACACTCAATGGCCAACCCAATAAATGAAATACTCTTGTATGGTTTAACTTTTATTTAAACTAGTTCTTAACCTGCTTCTTTAATGGGACTGCATCTATTGTGTTGAAAGACTTTTTAATAATATTGTGGATCAAAACATAATTATATACTAAGAATTGTAAAATTGACACATTTGGAATGCATACATTATTTAGGATACATGTGGTGCTTTTTGGTATGAACAACTAATTTAAAAGTTAGGAAAAATGATCGGTTTCATCCTTCACATTTCACAAAAATATTATTTTCATCCCTCACTTTTAAAATGAAACAATTTCGTCATTGATATTTAAAAACTGAAATTATTACATCCCTGAACCCAAATTTCAATTTGAATCAAACCACCAATCAACCTGATTACAAATTTTGGAGTGTAATTGATAGATCATTTGGTTAACTCAACTTGATATTCATGTGAAATTTAATGAACCTAAAAATTAAAATTAAAAAATTATAACATAAAAAAGAAAGATTAATCTTTCATACATTATCATTGTATACATTGACGGTTTTATGTACCGCCATATCATTTTAATTTAAATTTGAACACCAAATTTTATATTTATGATACACATCTAGATTCGCAAGCGGATATACTAACGGTGCATAAAAAGATTTACCAAAAAAAAAAACTCTACTATTCTAAGACAAAGAATGGCCTTTTATTTTATAATTTTTATTTATTTGATTTAATAAATGTCATGTGAATATGATGAAATTGACCGAATGATCTATCAATTCTATTTCCGAAATTTATTACTGGGTTATTGGATGGTTTGATTCAGATTGAAAATTAAGTTCAGGGATGTAATAGCTTTAATTTTTAAATATCCGGGATGAATTTGCTTCATTTTAAAAGTGAGGGACAAAAAGAATATTTTTGCAAAACGTGAGGGATGAAACAGGCCATTTTCCCTAAAAGTTAATTTCATGAAATTATTGAATTATGTTTATGATATAATGCACCAATTATGATCAAAACCAATAATTTGTCCAAATTAATGATCATGAATGATCAAACCAATAATAAAAATAGAAAAAGTGCTTGAAGAGGATTAAAAAAAAAAAGAAAAGATGAGTTGATTAACAAAAAAATAAAGAAGGTACAAACATACAAACTTATATAAGGTAAGTAATTAATAGATTGGTTGCCAAGAAAAAAAGACAAAAATAAAATCCACAAAAAATAAAAAAACAATTTATTTATAATTTGGTTTGCCACATGGCAAAAAGATAACAAAATCCACTCCGCAAAACATGAGAATATATATATATATATATATATATATATATATATATATATATATATATATATATATATAGGTGGAGCCATAGCCAGCCCAATTGGACCTTCTCAATTTTTTTTTTTTAGAAATTTTAGAATAGTCTATAAAAAGTTTTTTCCTATTGTTGCCTCACTTTTGCACCCCTTGAAATTTGGTAATATTTCCTCTAACCCCACAATTGCCTAACAAAAGTTTTAAAATTTTATACAATTATCACCACCATTTCTACAATGCAACATTAAAATAAAATATATTATAGAATGCTATTTTTATTTTCTTTCTAACAAATCTTATGCACGTAACATTAAACTTTTCTTAACCTTACGAATTACAAGTTAACTAAACATTCATTTGATAGTTAAACTGTGTATACATTATCTGCCTATTGCGTATATGAAAATATACGTCCAGCACTAAATGCATAATTTATTATTGTGCACTTTTATACAATTTTTATGTATAGTTTTAATAATTATTATACGATTAGATGACCTTATAATTATTGCAATTAAAAACAAATTGTAGATAATTCTTCTTTAAATTGTTTTAACATCGAATAAAGTGGTCTACTCATTGCAGACATTTAGTTATTCTGAAACTCTATACCACATTGTAAACTTATAATTGTGAGAGATTCTACAATCTCTTTTGGCATCATGCCTTCCAAGTTAAACTCATGGTTAAACTACAAACCATGATCAAAACCTTACCGATACTACAAGCCTTACAATACAGCAGGGAACATCAGGCAGTTAAAGTCCGCACGTCAAAAATAAATGTAAGACCGTAAGGTAGATGAAATGTATAAGCACTCTAAGTACAGTAGTCTGGATTGAAAGACTCTGCATTTAAAATCAGTGACAGTGATATGGATAGTTAAAGCATGCGGTTTGATTTGGAAGTCGCGCAATGCAGTGTTTGTGGTCTTGATTAATTGATTGCTTTTAAGAGTCAATGTCCATACGTCTTCAAACTCGAAGTGTAGACAATCTGTGATGCTGCTTTTAGCTGTATTGACTGTTCTTATAAATCAAAAGAATTGTAGACAATCGTCAATAAGAGCAAAAAGGGGGGAAAAAAAAAACCATGATCAAAACCTTACCGATACTACAAGCCTTACAATACCTGAGGGAACAGAAAGCCTCAAGGCTCGTAGACAGTCTGGATTTAAAGACTACATATGGAGAGTTAAACGAGCACCATGACATACGCGTTTTAATGTGTATGACTTGGAATTGATCTGATTCCGCTTTTGAGAGCCAAAGATCCGTCTTCCACTAGAATTGTTGTGTGGAATTTCTTAGAAATGCCATTAAACACACTGGCCCTCAAGCTGGAAGACTCGCAATATTAATGCAGTTTTTCTGGTCTTGATTCATGGATTTCACTTTCGAGAGTCAAGGTCAGCCTTCAAACTTGAAGTGTACGTTGTGTGGAATTTCTTAAAAATGCCATTAACTGTTCTTATAGAGCAAAAGAATTATAGACAGTCTTCAAGAAGTGGGGAAAAAAAATATAAGAACTCTTCCATTACTACTTAGAACTAATGTGGGTGTCAGAATAGGACTTCTAATAAGTACAGAATTTTACTAATTGAATTTCAACTGAATTGATATGGTTTGCCAAAAATCAACAAATGCGGTACAATTAAAAGGAAATTACTCATAACATTTTCATTTTCAATTTTAAAACATACTCCATTATCCTCTTATGGTTCTCCATTATATTTATTGCTCTCTTTGTGCTAAGGAGTATTATATTAAGGGCAGCTCTAAAAAAAATATTTAATTGTAAATTTTAGCAGATAAGGCTTAGCTTGTCAGTTTAGGAGATTAAAAAACGAAAGAAGAAAGAATGACCTAAGTTACCACAAAAAAGAAAAGAGGAAATATTAGAACTTTCCTATCTGTTTGATAGGTTGCAATTTTACTATTTATTTTATAATTAATTTTCCCTATTACCTGACCCGATGTGGATTAATTGTTAGATTTTACTCACTTTTGACAATTTGTATTTATTTCAGCGAGTAGAACGAAAATACCATAACAAATGTCAATTTGGCAGTTATCAAAAAAGAATTCAAGTAGCAGGCATCTAGGGACATTTTTGAAATATCAAACCGCGACCCTTCTTGGTAATTGGCCCGAAGACAACATTAAAAAGGGGAGGCTGAAGTCTTCTTTTTCCGCTCTCGGCTGGGCGGCGGCCGCCGCACAGTAGCAATTAGAATAGGAACGATTGATATATGGCTGACATTGAGCACTACCTTGTTTTTTAGCTTTTGACTTTTGTCTCGTAGCTCTAGATTAGGTTTTCACTTAGACTTTTTCCATTTTTTCCGTTCCTTAGTGATTTTCTTCTCGTATGTCAGAGACCATGAGAAA